TTTCCATGGTCTGTGGATCAGGTGTCCCATGGAGAACGCGGGTTGCCTCTGTGTGCAATTTAACCTTTAAATCACCTTTAATCTGCAATCTATACAGCAATGAATAAACACTACATTAACTGCCTTATTGCAAGTGTTTACTACTGTAGAAAATAGCTCTTTTATTCTGTACTTTCTTCCTCCATATTGACTACCTTTAAAAGATTTGTGGTGTTGTGCTTAACATCTGAGCAAGACAATTGACTTTTATCTACATTACTTATCTTGAAACTCAAGTGCGGAACTCAACAAAGTTAAAAAATAGTGTTGGTGAGACTGAATTCAGGAGTTGTGGTTAATTGTTGTCAAGTTTGCATTTTACAAGCTGACATTTCTAAAGTGTGAAAAAATGTGGGAAGTAAGGAACTATCAGTTCAAAATATTTGGAACGGTTTTTAAGAACAGCATTTTTGATTCAGATTTCATAGTTTAAAATGTCAATAGTTAAGTATATCAAGAAGTTACATTTCTATAATGCCTACTCACAACAATAAGATGTTCCAAAATGCTTTACTCCCAATGAAACACTTCTGACATTTTGTCACTGTGATAATAAACCATCCAATTTGTGCACAGCAAGCTCCCACATGCGGCCATACAATAATGACTACATAATTCCTATTAGTGATGTTGGTTGAAGGTTAAACATTGGCCAGAACACTAGAGAACTCCTTTGTTGCTCTTCACATAATACCGTGAGAAATGTTACATCCACCAGAGAGGGCAGACTGTGTGTCAGCTAAACATTTCATCCAAAAGATAACACCTGCAACAACGTGGCACTAGATTGTCAATCTAGATTAAGTGCTGAAATGCTGGAGTACAGTTTCAACCCCTTTTCTTCTGACTCAGAGGCAAAAGTCTCCAACTGAGCAAACAAAAAATTATAGGCAATCACATTTTAATGGAAGTGGAAATGTACAAAGTGGTGGTTCCTTTGTTATGACCAAGTGAGGAAGGGTCATTCTCTCCTCTTTTTTAAACCCCTATCAATCCATTGCAACAAATATTTATACTTATTTTCTTTCCTTAGCACTTAGTTATCACATTTCAATTAAACTTAACCAGATTAAAAATAAAGGCAAACCAATTCCAAGGTTTTCTTGAGTGAAAAAGTGTGGAGTTTCATTACCTACTACTACCCCCAAAGAGTGACAACAAACACACACAGGAATTGATCTTACAAAGTATGTGGAACAGGGGTCAGGTGATCCAGTACAGGTAGAAAGGTAAAGGCAGTTGCAACTTTAAGTTTTGTAGAGTCTGTCCATATTGTGAAACTGAAAAGACCTGAGTCCTTTTAGATGTTTCTCTGTAATGGTAAATGTCTAGGTGTTCTGGAGTTCTCAGTGAATCATTGCTATTGTTCTAAGTTACTTTTGTTGTGTGCCACTACCCAGTGTCTGAGTTTGAGAACAAGAGAACAGCAACCAGTATCCTTGATACCAGTCCCCCTCCACTGACACCCTCATCTGCTTAGCCGAACTTGTCCTCACCCTCAACAACTTGTCTTTCAATTCCTCCCACTTCCTAAGACAAAGGGGGTGGCCATGGGTACCCACATGGGCCCAAGCTATGCCTGCCTCTTTGTAGGTTACGTGGAACAATCCCTCTTCCGTACCTACACTGGCCCTAAACCCCCCCTCCGCTACATTGATGACTGTATCGGTGCCGCCTCATGCTCCCATGGGGAACTCGAACAGTTCATCCACTTCACCAACACCTTCCACCCCAACCTTAAGTTCACCTGGACCATCTCTAATACCTCTCTCTCCTTCCTGGACCTCTCTGTCTCCATCTCGGGCAACCACCTAGAAACTGATATTCATTTCAAGCCCACCGACTCCCACAGCTATCTAGAATACACCTCCTCCCACGCACCTTCCTGCAAAAATGCCATCCCCTATTCCCAATTCCTTCGCCTCCGCCGCATCTGCTCCCAGGACGAGGCATCTCAGATGTACTCGTTTTTCAAGGACCGCAACTTCCCCCCATCAGTGGTCGAGAACACCCTCCACCGTGTCTCCCACATTTCCCGCAACTCATCCCTCACACCCCGTCCCCACAATAACAACCAAAAAAGAATCCCCCTCGTCCTCATGTACCACCCCACCAACCTCTGGATCCAACGCATCATCCTCCGACACTTCTGCCATCTGCAATCCGACCCCACCACCAAAGACATTTTTCCCCTCCCCACCCTTATCTGCTTTCTGGAGGGACCACTCTCTCCGTGACTCCCTTGTCCGCTCCACACTCCCCTCCAGCCCCACCACACTTGGCACTTTTCCCTGCAACCGCAGGAAGTGCTACACCTGCCCCTACACCTCCCCCCTCACCCCCATCTCAGGCCCCAAGAAGACTTTCCACATCAAGCAGATGTTCACCTGCACGTCTGCCAATGTGGTATACTGCATCCCACTGTACCCGTTGTGGCCTCCTCTACATCGGGGAAACGAAGCGGAGGCTCGGGGACCGCTTTGCAGAACACCTACGCTCGGTTCGCAATAAACAACTGCACCTCCCAGTCGCGACCCGTTTCAACTCCCCCTCCCATTCCTCAGACGACATGTCCATCCTGGGCCTGCTGCAGTGCCACAACGATGCCACCCGAAGGTTGCAGGAACAGCAACTCATATTCCGCTTGGGAACCCTGCAGCCCAATGGTATCAATGTGGATTTCACAAGCTTCAAAATCTCCCCTCCCCCTACCGCATCCCAAAACCAGTCCAGCTCGTCCCCGCCTCCATAACCTGTTCTTCCTCCCACCTATCCCCTCCTCCCACCTCAAGTCGCACCCCCATCTCCTACCTACTAACCTCATCCCGCCCCCTTGACCTGTCCGTCCTCCCTGGACTGACCTATCCCCTCCCTAACTCCCCACCTACACTCACCTTTACTGGCTCCATCCCCGCCTCTTCGACCTGTCTGTTTCCTCTCCACCTATCTTCTCCTCTATTCATCTTCTATCCGCCTCCCCCTCTCTCCCTATTTATTTCAGAACCCCCTTCCCCTCCCCCTTTTCTGATGAAGGGTCTAGGCCCGAAACGTCAGCCTTCCTGCTCCTATGATGCTGCTTGGCCTGCTGTGTTCATCCAGCTCTGCACCTTGTTGTCTCTGTTATCAGACCATGTTGCTTTTTCTGTCTTTCTGCTCAAAACAAGCCATTGAAGTAAGATTCACTTGTATGATCAATGTCTAATTCCATTGTCTTTTTCAGGTTACCCTTTATCTCCAAAATGTGAAGGCATGTGAGACCAAGCAAAACAAGAGATGTGAATGCCTTGATGCCTATATTTCAGGACATTTTGATTAAAATGGCAATTTGGTGGCAGCTGGTTTTATATAGTCTATGTAGTTGTCTGGGCTTGTCATTTGATCACAGCAGACATTTCAGGTTAGCACCCTCCTTTTTGAAACTTTTTTTATCCATAAAAGTATTGGGTATGAAAGACAAATAATGAAAGTTGAATACTGATCGTCTATTTTCACTAAAACCTTAACAACAAGCTATTCTATGAATATTCTTTCATCAAGTGATTGAACTCCAATTGACCTCCAGTCTCAATATATTTGCTACAGTTATGTTTAAATTGTATTGATTCACATGATTCACCTCAACAGCAGAAGCATGCTTTGTACATTATATGTCATCAGACTCTTGACATTAGAAGAGCTTCATCTGATGTAGTAAGCAACCCTTCAATATGAGGGAATGGGATTTGTCAGGGTAGAGGGGTTTTCCTGATATCTCACTACTACTTTGGCAGAAACTCCTGAGAAATGGTTCAGACATCATATATCAGAACATTTTTTAAATTTGCTGGTAAAGTTAGATTTATTGTTCATATCTAATTGCTTGAGTCAAAGGATTTCTTCTTAAACTGCTGTAATCCTGACGAAGATGCTTCAATGATGGTGTTGAGGGGAGTTCCAGAACTGACTCTAAATGAACACTGATAAAAGTCTACTTTATAGTAGTGGCTTTGAAGGTAATGTTATTCTCAAGATATTACTGCTCCTACATTGTTTGGTAGTAGAGACTGAGTAACATTCTGGAAGAATCTTCTGTGTGTCGCTGCAGTGTTTCCTGTTTTGGCATATATTGCAGTCACAGTGCACCTATCGTTAGAGGGGTGGATACTAATTCCCAGTGAGAGGGACACCACGTGTAAAACTGTCATAGGATAGTAAATTAGTGTTATTTTCTCAAGTCAATAATCTAGGAATTATCCATCCATTCAGCATTTTGTTTTTTATTTTGGTCTCCAGTTTCTCCATCTCTTTCAGTAATTTTAATTTTCAAACGATTCTTTTCTAATTCTGAGATTGGATGATTGTTCTATTGTTGTGGTTAACATTTTTAATTAAACTAATCCCTAGGGACTTTTTTTTGCAAGTCTTCCTGCTTAACCTGTTTATGGAAATTCCTGTTTTTCCCGCTGGGGACAGGATTATGGAAGACTGATTAGAGTATTTTGTAAGTTAGTCTCCTAGGATTTTGTTTCGTTTGGTAAACAACTGAAAGACTTGCAGTGTCATCAACTTACCCGCCTTTAGAGCAACCACTCCATTTCCTCATTTGATCCTTTCTGGCATTGCTACATCTAGCTGAGACACACATCTTTGACTGCTACAACCCTCTAGTGCTTTGTCAAAATGGCTAATCTTTCATGTGTAACTGCCCATAGCTCTTCAGCTTTGGGAGAAGTACCAAAGAATTATAGTTCAAACACTGGGATCAAACGCACATAGCTTTCAGCAAGGCTCATTGTCTTTAATGCTCTGAAGCAGGATTCAGCCACCTTTTGTTTGTCTCCCCACCTCAGAAAGGCCTAAAGCATCTCTATCACTGAATCTCAGTAATTGATTACACTCTTGATACTTTTCCCCACTGGTTCAGTTGCTGGGAATATTTTCCTTTGTGTGCCCTAACACAAAATTGCAGAGTTCTTCAACAGATTGTTATATTGCACAATAAAGGAAGTGCTGCCTCTTTGATGGGCTCAGCTGAATTACAACTGATGTGCTGGGCGGCTCCAAAAAAAAATGCGGACATGGATTACCATACAGTAATTAGCAAACAACGAGACATTCTTCAAAAAGGTGAGATAGTTGGATCGCGTGCTGTTACAAAGGTATTTACATTCCAAGAATTTTTAAGACAGTCTTGTGTGGAAATCAGATACCAGGCATACTGTCAGAGTGTACAGTGACCTAAAAGTATATATATGTTTGTATGTAGTCCTCATTCAATTTTTTGCATATTTCCATCAAATCAAACAAAACATTTGTAAATATATTCATAACTTTGGCTATCTCAGCAAAGACAAAGCACGAACAAACCTGAAATAAAAACAGAAAATGCTGATAAAACTGAGCAAGTTTGGCAGCATCTGCGGAAAGAGAAACAGAATTAACATTTAGAGTCCAATGAGTCATCTTTGAAACTGATGCACAAACTGATACAATTCCAAAAAAACGTTTTTGGACTTGAAATGTTAACTCTGCTTCTCACTGTTTTTATTTCAGGTCCTCAGCATCCATAGTATTTGGCCTTTATTGGAAACCACTGAACTGGGAAGAATTTAAATATGGAATTGATTTTTTTCCTTCAAAGACAGAATTTATTAATAGCATTTTTTAAAAGTACATTACAAAACATCCTGACATGAAAATTACATAAAGTACAATAAAATTCAGGATGTTCCCATGCAGCATGGTCCATTCTTAGGCACCAAGAGATTTGGCAAATCTGGAACTCTCTCCCTAAAAGGTTTTGAATGCTGGGTGTCAATTGGAATTTTCAAGATTGAGTTTGATAGGTTTTTTTTGGGTGAGCATATGGTGGAAAATATCTTTGCGATTTCACTTCTGAACAGTCCAGTTCTAATTTTTCAATGTGTTGGACTCTGGTATCAGATGAAATAATTTCCCTCTAATTTCCATAACAAATCTTTATGATTTGACACACCTCTCTGTCAAAGTGCCCTCAAACATTCTATGAACTAAAATAAATATAAGCCATCTTTATGAAAGCTGAGCTCATAATGTAACCTTTTAAGCCCTGGTATAATTTTGGTGAGTCTACACTGCAGCCCCTCTCATAGCCCAATGTATCTTTTTGAATCTTACACTGTCCAAATCCAAGTGTAGTCCTCCAGAAAGCAACTAGGCAAGGTTCTCTGGAACTGAATAATAACTTGTATCCACTTTTTAATCCAAGCCTGGAGATAAAGGCCATTATACGATTAACCTTTTAGATAGCCATGTGTATCTCTGTACTACATTTTAATGACTTATCTATTTGGACACTCAGGTTTTCTTTCCTCTTCCAGGGTCTATTATCATTCTCTTAGAATAAGAATACATTCTGATTTATCATTCTTGAATCCACAGCAAGTGAACTCCCACTTCCAAACATTGAATTCCAAATGTCACAGCATCACTGACTCACTCAATCTTTCTTTGCCTTACGTACGTTCCGGCTCCCACCTTTGTTAACTTATTGGACATAGAAATTCACCTGTTTACCTTGCCAGTGAACTCTTTAAACAATTTAAACTAGATTATGACATTTCCTAACCTGCACACAGATTCTGAGCAGTTCAGTATACTGTTCATACACTTTGTCCTCATATTTTACGCTTATTTTTCTAGTTGTCTGAGCAAATTTCGCAAAGGTAAAATAATTACATTTGAATTCCGACTGGATCCACAGCTGAGGTATAAATGTTACTGTACAATATTGCTTCATGCAGTGGGATTGAGAGAAAGACAGCGGGAGACGGAGAGCAGTCAGTCAGACAGAGAGAGAGATCGGCTGGGATCAGTCATCCATCCTGTTAGAGAATTTAATTCTCAGCCCTGGGTGCAGTGAGCTCAGCTGCTGTCGAGATCCTACTAAAGAGCGCTGAACCCCTAAGACATACATAATGCCTGTGGGGTTAATAACAGCTGCTGGACGCCGTTACGAATCCAGGTATGAAAGAGACTCATCGATCATCCTGTGACTGCTCCGATCCAGGGACACGGGCAGGAGCTGCGGCCGCAGCGAGGGACACGGAGTAGGAAAGGAGCCGGGGGCAAAGCCGAGACCGTCACAGCCCCAGACTAAGCTCTACCTTTATCTCACAGACGTCGAAAGCGGGGTCCTCATGATAAGTGCGGCCTTGGGGATGATCTCTGACGGTCGGTGGGAGTGAAAGTCACAGCCTCTGGCTACTGATCAATCGCTGGATTCTTTACTGGTTGTGGGAAGATTAGAAAGGATCTAAGACTAAACTTGAATTCGGAGAATGCTGTGGGAAGTCGCTCCATAATCAAAGACAATATTCCCCATCTTCATCCACGGAACATAAGAAGGGTCTAGGCCCGAAACGTCGGCCTTCCTGCTCCTCTGATGCTGCGTTCATCCAGCTCTACACCTTGTTATCTCACATACAGGACTGATACTGGAGAATAAAGCAGCGACTAGGCCACAATTTCCTAGCAATGAACAGACATCACATCCGGTCACAGTGAATTTGGTGACGTAATTTCCGTCATGGTGAAGCCTGCCCAGGACAAGGGATAGTCGGGTCAGAGAGAGGTTGGAGGTCCCAATCTGCCGGATCCCCCTTCTTTTCCTTTTAGGCATTCCTTCTGTGTCTTACTATTCCTAGGAGTTATGGTCGGTTCGAGCCGCGGTTCTCGTTCGTGATAATCCCTCACTGATGCTGCCCACCAAAGACCAGGAGAACGCGGGGTCTTCCACAGAAGTGGAAGAGATCGGAATGGACCGAGAAGCCGCCAGGTTTGTGCGGTCAGGCAGTTTGAATGTTAAACAAACCGGATTCAGGAATAACGTAACTTTCCCCAGATGTTGTCCTCCAGCTCAAAAGAAAAAAAAACTTGACCCTTTGTCCTTTACAAACCGATCCCTCCATCCCCTTCTTCCCCCTCTTCCCCTTCCCACCCCCACCCTCATCCTCTTCCCACCCCCATCCTCATCCTCTTCCCCGCCATTCCAATCCCCTTCCCCACGACTCCCACACGCCCCACCCCGTCCCCTTGCTCCCCACATCCCTCCCCAAACCCCATCCCCATCATCATCCCCTCTAACCCCATCCTCTCTTACTCCCCGCCCCTGTGCCCAT